AAGTTCAGCGTCTGCACCCAGCCCCCCAACGCTTGGTAAAATAACAGCTCACTCTACCAATGCAAGGCATTGTTTTTAGCATGGTGATGATTGCCATCATTATTTAGCCCCTGAGCCAACGAAGGTAACTTGCATTTTTTTTCCTTTTTCAATATTGGGGAAGCAGAAGGGCCTGGTCTGTCTGAAAACTGCCCAGTGACCATCGTGCCCCGTGGAGGGAGTCTGAGCACAGACCATCTGGAGCCCGGGAATGCTTGCGCAGGGATGTCCATAGAGGACCACATCTATACCCCACAGCAACTTCGGGTCGTGCTAGTTCAGCCTTTTAACAGAGGAGGAATCTGGAGGCCAGTAACTCAACCTCCCTGGGCCTCAGTGTCTTCATTTGTAAAATCGGGGTTGGACTAGGTGGCCTTTGGAGGTCCTTTCCGGCTCTCGATCTGTGATCCTATACTAAATGATTTCGGTAAGCTAATAAAATTCCAGCTTTCCTCAATCTCTGATCACACCTCTACTTTCTGTTGAGGAGACCGTAAACCTCCCTGAAGGCCAAGAGTATTTTGTTTTTGTTTTTATATTCTCAACTCCAAGGACACTTTTTCTTGCAGTAAACACTTAATAAATGTTGGTGGAATTGGGTACTTTATTAAGGTGTCAGCATGTATTTGATTTGTGTATGTCATATACCCCCCTCCCGCATATCTTCTCTGTATATCTTTTATTTTTATAGATAGGTATCTGTATGTGTCTTCTCTCTTGGACATGTGTGTGTATATACACACATACTATGCACACATATATACATGAGTATATATGTGTGTATCTATATATATGAGAGAGGACATATATATACATGAATATACCTATATGTGTGTCTATGTTATCTTCCTCATCAGAATGTAAACTCCTTGAAGGCAGGAGCTATTTTGTAATTGTCTTTGTATTCTCAATGGTAAGTGGTTAATAAATGCTTGTGGATTGATTAAAGTATCCTTATTTCATTCTGAGTTCTGCTTAACTTTCCCAGGGTAGGTGACAGTGAAAATATATACTTAATAAATGTTTTTGATAATGATGGGGGTTCCTTGAACCATAAAAAAAGACATAAAGGACTGGATCAACCTAATTCTAAGTGTAGGTGAAGTTAGGTGGTGTAGTGACTTGAAAGGCTTTCGTTGTCCCAAATTCTCTTTGCCACCTCTTACTGCTGGTTTTGCAATGTCATCTGTAGAAATTAACTTCTTTGGTTTATTGTGTCACCTCTTCAAATGGAAATGCTCTGTCTCCCTCCCTATCCCCATTTACCTCCCCCTTTACTTCTTTCTCTCCTCCCCCCCCCCCCCCCCCCCAGCCCCCCTGCAACCTCAGGGGCTTTCAACTGTTCAAGCAAAGAACTTCAGACCTGAAGACAGCCCCTATGATATTCCCAGTAAGTGGTCATCCAGTTTCCGCTTGAAGACTTCCAGTGAGGGGAAACCCAGTATCCTCTGAGGCAACCTTGGACAGTGCTCATTGTTTAGAAAGTTTTCCCTCATATCAAGTGAAAATCTGTCTTTCTATAAACATTGTGGCTGCTAAGCACAAGCCTAATCCTCTTCCACATGATGATTCTTGAAGTTGGCTGTTATGTTCCATACACACTCTATCTCCTCTTCTTGAGGCTTAATTTCCTCATTGTTCTTCTTGTTCTCCTCCTCCCGATGCACTTGAGTTTGTCAGCTTCTTGACTAAAGAGTGGTACCTAGAACTGAATACTAGACTCTGGATCAATCTGACTATCTATTTATTACTCCCTATTTATCCTGTATATAGCTTCTTCACACATATTGGTTTCCTTTTTGTCTTCCCCATTAATTGTGAAATCCTTGGGGTCAGGGACTATCTTACTTTTCTTTGTATCCCCAGGGGCTTAGCACAGTGCCTGGCACATAGTAGGCACTTAATAAAATGCTTGTTGACTGACTGTCTAGTTATTCTTTCATTCTGAACTTACACAGTTGATTTTTTAAAACAATATAAAGCTTTACAGTTATCTGTTCTGTTCTATCTTAGATGCAGCTCCTTGGTCTAGTATGGTGAAATCTTTTTGGATCCAGATTCTGACCTCCAACTTGATTATTGTTGTTATTTTAATCAGGAGGCCCTGGCAATTGATCTGTAGAGCGGGTAAGCAGTATCTGTTCCCGGTAATACTGAGGGAAAGAGTGAGCCTTTCTCCTTCTCTTAGGCTGCCTATAATCAGACTATAAAAGATGACCTAATGTAGGATAGGAAACTGAAAGACGGGGAAGGAGTGAGGGAAATCAGTCAATGGGCATTTATTAAGCATCTACTATGTACCCAGCACTGTGCTAAGCACTGAGGATACCAAAAAAGGCAGAAGACACTCTCTGTCCTGAGGAGCTCACAATCTAATGGGGAAGAAAACAAGGACTTATATATAAACAAGCTATATACAGGAAACATAGGAAATACTTAACGGAGGGAAGGCACTAGAATTAAGAGGGGTTGAGAAAGGCTTCTTGTAAAAGATGGGATTTTAACTGGGACTTACAGAAAGCCAGGGAAGGCAGTAGTCAGAGTGGAGGAGGGAGAGCATTCCAGGCATGGGAGACAACCAGAGAAAATGGCCAGAGCTGAGAGATGGAGTGCCCTGTTCATGGATCTTTGTCACTGGATCAAAGAACTTGGTGTTGAGTGACTAGGGAACAGAGAAAGGCAGCAGAGTCAGGGTGTAGCCTGGAGGTGAATGAAGGATAATATTATTATCCCCATTTTGCAGATGTGGAAATTGAGACTGATAGAAATTAGGTGATTAGCCCAAGGTTAAAGCTAGTAAGGGTCCTAAGCAACATTCAAACTCAAGTCTTCCTCACTTCAGGTCCAAAACTCTCTACTCAAAGAGAAATGGATCCCTGCCATCCACATACTGATTTAGAATACCATAAATTAACATTATCTATGTTGTATTGTATTTTTTTGGGTGGGGGCATTAGACGTTTCCCAGTCACATCTTAATTTGATTCAGGCCATGCTTGGGAGTTTTGGACTTGCAGCCATGGGCCACAAATTTGACACCTCTGCCCCATAATGTCTACCTGTCTTCTATTCAAATCCCCTTTTCATCCTCAAATCTGTTTGCCCCACTCGACACATTTGATGAGCCTGTTTTTAATGCCTTCATCGATGCCTTTGTCAAAATGTTGAGCAGAAGAAGGCCAAGGATAGACCTCTGGAGCACTTCACTAGAGACTTTTCTTCAGGTTAACATAGATCCATTAATCACTATGCTTGTCATTCAGATAGTTCTGAATCTCCCTTTCTTTAATGCTGTCTAATCCATATATCTCCATCTTTTCCATGAGACTATCAGGACAGATTTTGCCAGATGCTTTGCTGAATCCAGGCATTCCATATCTATCACATTTCTCTAATCTGCCAACCTAGTAACCCTGTCAAAAAAGGAAATGAAATTCATTTGGCATAAAGTTAATCTGCTTTTGAAGAACACATGCTGGGGCTTCACTTTATAAATTCTTACAGATCATTCCTTTTATTACACAGTCTATAATTTTGCTTGGAATTAAAGTTAATCAACGATCTGGAATCTGCCAATTCCAGTGTCTTCTGCTTATTTCCAGTCCTACTGATAGTGACTCAAAGATCCACTTTACCCTTTCTTTTGGCCCTGAGGGATATAGTTTGTCTGGGTCTGAAATCTTGAACTCATTGAAGGCAGTTCCTTGCTCTCTGACCATCTCCTTATATATCTTGAATTTCAATCCCTGTTAATCTTTGTTCTCTCCTTCAGAATCTGGAAATCATTCTTTTTTGGAGAGAAAATAGGAATAAAATAAGAATTGAATAATTTTGACTTCTCCA